ATTGTGGTTCTATTACGGTTCTTATATAGAAATTTTTGTGGTGCCCCATTTTCCTTGGTTCCTCGAGCACGTGCTTATTTTGCCTAATGGACAATCCAGCACAGCCTAATATATACCGTATATATTATTTATCTGTGAAATTTAGATTCATTTATGGCTTGTATTTAGGGTATTGAGCAAAATTTCGCTTTTGAACTAGGTAAAGTAATTTCAACTAAACCATGAACATTAATCGTCAAGTAACAATTTGTTGTTTTGTTTGTTTTATTTTTAAAATCCATTCTGGGCTCCGTGAATAATAATCAACCTGTTCAACGGTTCCGTAACACCAAAAGTTTGAGAACCCCTGGCCTAGACGGTAGTACTGGTATTATGTAATCTTTACCATTACGGTGACGTGGTCTTCATGACATTGACTGACTACGAAAACGGAACGAGGAGCGCAATATTTAATTTTGATGACGTCATCACACACACAAAATCCCATAGAGCCAACAGATATTTTTGAAATAAATAAAAATAAAAGCCCTATAGCGACAAAAACATTCTTTAGTCACTGAACATTTCAAAGCAATTTGTCCCGTAATTAAAGATAAAAGATTTTATCATAACAATATCAGCAAGAAAAAGAATTCTAACAACGACAACATCATACACAAAACGATATTTAGGCCTATTTCATGTCCAACAAGCCATATACAATTGAGTTTCAGAGTACTTTTGCAGTTTTCGTTTCTCAAATTTTCGAAAATTTCTCGAGATTGACTTTTTGCTGTACACTCAAGGTAACTGTAGAACAATGACCTGAGTAATTCAGATGTCTGGGTTAGGCAGACATATAATATATGTTGGGCAAAGGAGCGGATGAGAGTGAAACCACGGGCCCCATTCGCCAAACTTCGTAAAAAGCCGCGTTTACGAGCACGTAACCTTGTCTCTCAAAAACGCTGTTACGAAATCTCGTCAAGTGCGATTCACGAAACATCTCGTAAAAACTTTACGCACGGTCACGCAAGTTCTCTCGAAATCTAACGCACGGTCGGCGTTGAACTCAGGCTTCGATATATCTTAACTAGGTTTCTTGTTTTTATTCAGTAATTGTTTTAGTACTTTAACTTCATTTAATACAGCTGTGAGGGTATCGATAAATTCTCTTCAATTTTAAAATAATTTAAGACTTTATGGACATCCCACATATCGTGCTATACGTGCAGTTTTTCTGTGTTTTGTATTTTTTTGTAATTCATAACGTATGCATATATATACGCATTACAATAATGATAAATAATGAAAGAATATTAGTAATACCACACGCTAATACAAAGTAAAATTTCCTGTACAAAAACATTCAAATTCCTCTTTGGCGCGGATTTTCTCCCCGGATGGGAAACGTCCAATTGGGTTATCACAATGTTGTGAAACCGGATACCAATAAAGGAAATTACTAAATTTCATTGCGCTATTAATCAATTAACTAGTTAATTTAAAAATAGCTATCTTTTTCCATTTAATAGCAGTATGCATATATTCGTAAGCTTTCTTGAGTTTAGATCATCGTCCAACTTCTTCAGAGAAAACAATATATAATATATATGTAGGCTTACCATACGTCCCGCTTTAGGCGGGACAGTCCCGCTTTCTAGCGTCTTGTCTCGCCGTCTCGACAAGTCAGCCGAAAGTCCCGCTTTTGCGTTCAGCCATCCAGCATAATACACGAATATGTTCTCGTTACTCCTGTTGCTGTGTACCGCAAATCTAGCCTACTTACTGAAGGTGAATGCGTTATTTTGTTTGTTTTGTTGTTTCCCGCTAACATTGTTAGCGAACGTATCACATGTAAAATCAATTCTAATTGGTTCTGTTCGGCGGTTCACGTGAATGTAATATTGAGCAACGTCTTTTTGAAGGCGTTATCTACAGAAAAGCATGGTTGGGAGAATAATTAAATCTCAATTCTTTATTCTTTTTGCTGTACAAAAAAAATCTGAATTCGGATCATTTGTATCGTTAGCGTCTATTCCTTTCTATTTTTCGAACTGAACTTGATATTTGGACAAAGAATATGCGCATGAACTCTCAATGACAATATGGTCAAAAAACACAGGCGTGATGGTTGTAAATGTAGGCCTATGTAGTAAAATCGGAAACTGTAAAGTTACAGCATCCCATCGTGTTATTGGAGGCGTCCCGCTTCGAAGTCAAAAAAATATGGTAACCCCCATATATATGGTATATTCTTTTTGATTTGATTCTCTTACTTATACTAAGCTTACTAATATGCTCGCTATTTCATGGAAAAAGATTATTCCTATTTCCTATTTAGCTCTATATCTCAACACTATCTTTCAAGCATTCTTGTGGCAAAAGACACATACGGATCCGAAGTCGGAAGATACAAGGAGAAGGGACTAACAGCTCAATACCCTATTACCAGAGGCGCAGACAAGATTTTTAAATTGGGGTTTAAAATTGGAATCGGAAATTTCCAAGCAGCGGCTCTTGTAACAGTCGCTCCGATTACGCGCTGGTCAGACCAACTTCATCATTGCATTATGATTATTATGTCGCGTAAAATATTCAATTTCCGACGACTACGAGAATTTAAAATGCCTTCCTATATTAATTTAATAATTTAATTGTGTTCAACGTAACTCACGGTTGCGTCGACTTTTTAAAAAAATTAATTATTACTATTCCAAAATACCACGATAATTTGCGAAAAATGTGAGATATACTGCCGTAAAATCTTTAATTTTAATACGTATTTTTGCGCTTTTGCAAAAATCCCGGCGTTAGAAACATCTCAAGATATCTGCTATAGAATCCCAGTGAGTACAATTTAGTTTAGTACAAAAAAAATACACATAAAGTATATTGGTATATAATAATTACATATTCATAGGCGGAATGTTGCGATTCACAATCTCTTAAAAAAGCTTTTTTTAATATGTCGCGGGCCTACGTAAACAAAACTTATGTTGTATTTCATTTTTTTTAGTATTCTATATTTCCGCTTATTAATCTAAATTAGAAGGTTTGGGTTGCGGATCCACTTCTTTATTCATCCTGACATACATAGGCTTCGACGTGAAGGTGTTTGTAGTCTAAATAAAATGCCACGCCAACAAAAACAAGCAGCTATATACGACCCCAACCCTGAAGATCGCCACTGCCTATTACCGTCCTAACTAATATTCGTTAATAAATATTTAAATACTTTTTTTTGCAAACGCGATTTCCCCAATCTTCCATGAAGATATATTGTTACCATAGAGTGGATGACCTTCAACTCAATGCGAACTTGTCCGATCTGTTGAGTAAATGCCCTGGGCAAATTTTTAAATGATAAAAGTGTCACTTTATCATTCTGATATTTTATTCATGTAAATTTTCTCAATGTAAAATAGTGTAACTGACAGTTGGGGTTACGTGAAACTAACAACCGTTCCTTTCTCTATGTCTGTGTGCTGGTGGATCCGTATGCGTATAACGCAAGGATGCTATAGCAAGAGTGGAAATGACTATTCTATTCAATTCAAGAGTCTTGCTGCGCCCTAACACAAATATATTTCTGTAACGTTTCGTCTGACTGAGGTCAGACTTTTTCAGACGAGCATTTCACAACTGTGGCAAGAAACGTAATGGCATGCACATATATAATGGTATCAAATATTGGATCTGTTTACGATAGAAAAAGATAAATAAGATCAGGAAAGTGCTAGAACATTAGAGAAGCTCAATTTAAGTTACAATCAATAAATATCCAACAGTGTAGTGAGTGACAATTTATATAGGTGCATACCATTACATTTCTTGCTACAGTTGTAAAATGCTCGTCTGAAAAGGGCTGACCTCGGTCGGACAAAACGTTACCAAAATACATTTGTGTTAGTGTGCAGCAAGACTCTTGAATTGAGTAAAACATTGTGTTTGCTAATAAAAGTGTGGGCTCAGTATTGACAGACGTCGCGATTAAACACTCACGAAGCTTCGTTGGAGTTCAATAGTAGAGATGTTATTGATTGCCGCTTGGCGAGAGGCCGGTGCTGTCCGGTTACAATTAGTTGGAAGAAAATTCTAGAAAAGGAAAGTTTGAATAGCATAGAAAATTTCTATGTACAATTTTTAAACTTCTTTTTCATTCTTCTTCGTAGATTAGTTTAGTTCTGATCCTCCAAGACGCCCTAACAAGCTGTGAGATTGTAATACAATCGTGAAGTTATTATCAGTACAAAATCAAGTTCAATTAGTTTAGTTCAATCACTTACCGTAAAAGTTAACCTGAACTAAATCCACAAGATCATTTGTTGGTCAAAGAATTGGAGTTTCACCTCATCGCAATAAATGGTGAGTTGTCTACATTGAGGACTTGTTTACTCACTGAGCATTAATGCGTAAAACAATGGTTCCCAATTTAGCACTTATGGCCCCCTGTTTATCATTTCAGTGGTATTTATAGTGTCGTTTTGATTCCAAATCTCATTATGTCCAAACACTTCATACTCAACAAAGCGAAAACACCCCTAAAATAATCTCATGAAGCAATGAAAAATTAGGAAGAACAGGGAATTTTCTTGTCAAGGGAAAAGTAGAATCAGTTTTGCGCCTAGCATTGTGGCACCCCTTCAACTGCTCAGTGGTCCGCTTGAGGGCCACTGGCCCCCGGTTGGAAACCTATGGTGTAAACATCTCCCTATTAGGTGTCATAGGTTTTTGAGTTGGTGGGAACAAGGTATTTTAATTTTACCGACAGTATTGTTGATTACAGTCAGTAACCAATCGCGTCTGTCTTCCTTTGTGGCGAAGAAGTTCGTTTGGGGCTGGAATGTGATAAAATATGTTGCGACTTGTGGTTGTGGTGGTCAGTCGAAGTAGTATCATACTTTTCCTGAACCTACCGATTTGGACTTTGTGTCCAAATACTTGAGCATTGCTCTCTTGTTATTTATTCAATTTTAAAATATGTGGCAAATCTAAATTTAATGTTTTATAGATATGAAATGGAGAAAAATATCGAGACAGCTGTGTCGGTGTTAGAGACATTTATAACCGATTCCACTGTGCAAAATTTGAGTGTGAAAAACGCTGAAGAAGTCTCCGTGATAGCAGAACGATTAGAAATTGATCATGTGGAAGAAACATCTGTGATAGCAGAACAGGCGACTATAACGTCTGCAGATGCTGTCATTAATGCTGAACAATTCAACATCGGTAAGAGAAGTTTTTGAAAACTTGTTTCGTACAAAGCTGCACTCAAATCATCAGCTAAATTGAAAGAGCCAGTCTAGAAAATATAGGAATGAATTGTCAAAAGTCCGGAATTAAAATTTACGAAGTTGGGATTCAAAATTGTAATTCAAAACTCTTGGAAGTTGATAGTCAGGATTGAATTTTTGAACTAGTAAATATGATAATAATAATTTTTTTACAAAAATATTATTTTATTAATTTCAAATGGATAGGAATAGGAGTCAATGACATTTTTCTCAAATATTGAATGAAATATGAAAATCTGATCATGTCTATTCATAGAGGGGACGACATTTTAGTGCAACTTCGTATTCCTCGCAAGTTACATCTAATCATGTTTTCCCCTAACTTAGATACATGCTCGGCCGTATGGCGCATCGTGCAAAGCATTAGAAATGCGCTTGCAATCCTACCTTATTCTACACTGTGCGGATTCGCAGGTACGAATCAAGTGAGGGATAAATATGTGACAGAGCATTGCTGGGTACAGGTCGGTTGCAGGTCGGTTACGGCTTTCACTTCACCAATCCATGCATCTGAAACATATAACTAACTAACTAATCACATATCATAACTGGACTGGTGACTTTACGAGGGACCGTGGTACTTCATTTAATTAAGCTTTCCCCTCCCCTGGAATAAATATGAAAATTCTATCCTATCATAATTTTATTAGTAACAAATCATTGCAAAACAACTAGGCACTTCACAGTATTTTTTTTTTCCTGATTCAGAAACCAACATCACTGGTTCTACAGTGCAAGATTTGAATATTGAAACAGCTGAAAATGTTTCTGTGCTTACTGAAAAAGCAAATATAGCAGCGGGTAATGAAACAAACGTGCAAGCTGCAGAGGTTTCTGTTTCAACTGAGCAAGCGATTGTTACGGCAAGGGAGGCAATTATCTGTGCAAATGTTCTTCAACAAACCAACATCAACGGTATATATAGCATTTCCAAGATGTACTTTAATAATATTTCATTTCATTATTCGGTACTCCCGTATCGTGTGTACCTGGTTAGGGTTAATCCATAATTTTATTCCGAATTTCCTTATTTTAGTTCTATAACAAGTTCGGTGACTGTCTGTTTTAGCCACGTGAATAGGTGCCCCCAGCCTATAGGTTTCAGTTCCTTTACGCTTGATATAAAATAGGCGAACAAAATTAGTTACCTCCATATTGGTACACCCACTTCTGGTGCGCTGGATTATGTGTTAAATAGCTCAAGCCACTAATTTCATATAGCAACACATTTGAATTGAAACTTTTGTTCAGAAACAAACATAACCGATGCTATTGTTGAAGAGATAAAAGCAGAAAATATTCAAAATATACACGCCAAAAATGTTGTGATATATAATATGCCCGGAAATTACGGTATGTTGATTTACTTTGCACTTGATTCATTTATTCCGAAAAATTTCGTGATATTGCTAATGGTGAATGATGAATGAATATTGGAGGGTAATATATAGCTGAATGTAAATTGCTGCTCATAAAAATATGTTGATCGGGTATTTGCATAGTTATTTTAAATCAGCAGTGTTTTTAATTTTCAGGATATGTATATATACATTTTGGTGATAGCATATTTGCGTCCACGGACATTTTACCTGCATATATTTACACCCACCGACATTTGCACAAATACATTTTCACCCATAGATTTTAGCGCCCGCATATGAATTGCACCCGCGGACATTTATACCCTTGTAGGTTTGTACCCATGCACATTTGCATGCACGTGTGTGCAAAGATAATGGAACTATTTTTTATTAATATTGCGAAAAATAATTTCAATGAATTTGTAGGGAAAACTGGAACATCAGCTGGTTTATTGGCGCCGTCGGCATTGCAAGCAGGTTGGAATGGTAAACCACAACAGTCACTGGTTGCGTATATGACAGAAGCAGATACTGCCGGACACGCAACAACGATACCGAAGGAAATAAATAATTCAGGTGAATCAAACTTGATAACAGTACCTGACATAGTAAACGTGGCGCTTCAGAAATATGTGTACCGATATGGAGGGTAACTAATTTTGTTCGCCAATTTTACATCAATTTGTGTAAAGGGTCTAACCCTATGGGCAGGGTGTATATTCACTTGAGTAACACAGACAGTCCCTGAATTTGTAATAGAAAATCGGCATAGAATTATGGCTCAACCCGAACTTGGTACACATACTACGGGAGTACCGTAAACGTTATGTCACTGCTTCATTATCAATCGTACAAATAAACATAACAACATAAGCTCAAGGACCCTGACCTCCAACTAAATTGAACAAGTGCGGATAAGATTGCAAGCGATTGCTAACGTATAAAGAGCAATACCATGTTGCAATCAAGATATCGGTAGATTGTGATGAACTCGCCTCTTGAAATAATTCGAGTCATCACCGGTCAAGACTCGACACAGCACTCATCAGGTGGTCAGATATTTCACAAAATGGAGATTTTTGGGAGATAGCTAGTTGCACGCTGAAATACTTCATATACATTGGGTAAAAAAAATTCTTTCTGCTTTTAGGTTCCAGAAAACTCCTCAAGTCATCTCAAACACGTGAGTCTGTTTATTAAATTTGCATTTGTATCGGTAATATCATATTACATATTTATACCGGGGTAGAGGAAAGTCGAATTAACGGCTTAACCATACGGTGTACCAAGACCACTTGTCCGGTTACCCGTCCATGTTGGGGTTCAGCAATCCGCTCGCACACCGTTATTATTCATAGGATTCGAACCTGCGCATGGTAATCGGATGTGCAATGGCAAGCGTGTTCCTAACACCTAGCACGGTGCGAATTAATCTACTGTGACTTTGGATAATACACGAAGTAATGGAGGAACCAATTGCAATTATAGGGTCTCTTATTAGCGTCATTAAAAATGACATCTGCGACCTTCGCCAAGCGTCGGAAAAAAGGGAGATACTCGGGAGATTTGCTATAACACACGTCATCGAACAGGAAAATTATCGAGATTCCGAATAATAACGGGACCTCGAGTTCTTTGTTGAATCGCATTAAAAAACTTGATCAAAAGCGATCCGCGCACAATATTTCGAAATATATCTGAATAATTAACAGAACGATTTTGCGATGGACCGGAAATATAAAATTATGATAGCTTGGCAATGTATCCCGCGGAACGAAAAAAACACCTAATTTAGTGCCGTACAAATCTGGTGTTTCTATTCAATGTTATAACAATTATATTACCGTTTTTCCCCCGTCTCTTAATGCCCAGCTTCCAACACTCTGGATCAGGGGTCTCCAACACGCGGCCCGCCAGGCATTTTTTTGTGGCCCGCGTTATGGTTGTGATTTTTCCACAAAAAACAAAACAGTATGATGTCAACTATTAGTAAGTTTTATCGTGTAATTTAACATCAAGAGCCCGGTCCGACAAACTGTTAAAAGTGAAACAAAAATTCCCCCCTGTTATTCCACTTGACCACGTTCATGTTTTACTCTATTGTCATAATTCAATTATAAATACAATGATTACATTCCGCATGTTGATTGTGACGAAATGAACTAGTTTCGGTCAGTCCATTGTGCCCGAAGAAAAGTTTACGAAGCTAATTGCACATTCACGTTGCATACTTGCGATGGCAGTTCTTATATTCGCGAGCAGTTTTTTCAACTACGAAAGTTAGCAAGTCAGTCCTTCTCTCTCAACTAACGGATGAGCGTTTGCATGCTGTCCCCTCTTCCAGCGGGTTCACTCATATGAGAGAAAATTTATATTTACGCTAGCGATGGGTAACCTACTGTTAATATCGCTCTTAGCTATTTATTGACGTAATGTCCTGATATGAGAGAAGCAATAAAACCTTCCAGCCGTGACGCAAAGTGCGAATAGTATAAATAGCGTGGATTTCAAAATCGCCTGCCAGATGTCTGGAAATGTCGACGCGACTCAGACGGAAAATACGCCTTTGTAATGACTTATTATTGGTTTAGCATGTATTTTCAGTCATACATACTATCCCTGGTGCTGTGTTGATTTGATAAATATGATTTCGACTGCACCATAGTTGGCAGAGGTATGGAGATTTTTTGTATGTAAAAAAAACGTAGAATTATTGTTAATTTTCACGCGTAACTGAGCGTATTGGATTGTTTACGTCGTTCTACGCGCATTTCCGTCAAAAAAAGTAAAATTTTTTGCATTGGGGGTGGTCTGTGCAGTAATAATTAGAGCTGTGATGTCATTAAAATCGTCAGATGAAGCATTGAACATGATAATTCTGTAAATACAATTGTGAATTTCAGAGTAACCATAAAAGATTTTTTTTGGAGGAGTGTGTTTTAAAGTTATATTGCTGAATAGAACTCTAGCACACGCTTTTAAAAAGACATGTGTGAAGCTTTAGGGCTCAATGGTTGACAAAAAAAAATATTTTAAAACTACCCATGTAAAATGGCATGGGTCGAGAGCGCCGAGTAGGTTAAGATTAGCAAACCAACGCAAAATAAGGCCAAACATTGAAACCAAATATCCAGCACTAGTAAGTGAATATGTTTTGAGTCTCTTTTGCTGTAAGATCCAAGTGGAATTTCAACACAATACATTCAGGTATCCATTTTTGGACCTATTTTCTTGGTTTGCGGCCCACGTGTGTAATAAATTTCAAAAAGTGGCCCGCGACATGTTTTGAGTTGGAGACCCCTGCTCTAGATATACTATAATATACAATTTACACAGTTTAGCATTTTTGAACTTTGTTTACCAGGTTATTCGAAAAATACCCCATATGTTTTCTCGGGTCGTCTCATATACCCTCTGTGTCTAGTGGAAGCTGTTGGTGGTTCAGCTGGCAAAGATATACCCACCAAATGTAACAGTGTGCTAAAAACCCAATTTCCTGCCTTACAAATTTAATTAGATATTAAAACTGCTCAATAACCAATTTTGGTTCCCCACGGTTTTCCTTCTACGGTAAAAAAAGTGCTTTGAATTTTATTCATGTTTTTCACAATTGGTCATGCTCAAATGTTCTCTTTACCAGTTGGAAAAAATAAACTTGACTATGACTTTGAAATATATTTACAAATATTTTTACAGCCAGATATCATAAATATCTAAATATATTCATTCAAACTATTTTTAGGGAAATATGTGGCCGAATTCAAAGAAGTGATCAATCGCGACGCGTATTGGAAATCCAAGGAGTCTATTACGGAGTTGTACAAAGATCAAAGACTGGTTGAACCATCTTTTGAAGTAAATCCACGTTTGAAAGAATTGACACATTTTTTTGGAGGTGAGATGGCGCCAAAGATGAAAGAATATCGTAAAGATGCCGAATTAGGCGCTTTGATCGAAAACATCAGCGAAGGAAGAATCGTTACCATCAAACAATTGATCAAAAGTTTTAATTCAAAGAAAAATCGGTTCATTACAATTATCGGACAGGCAGGAAGCGGAAAAACAACATTTACGAAACGCTTGGTTCATGCTTTGTGCGAAGACTCAAGAAAAAGTTTCAAAAACAAGTTCAAGAAAAGTTACGGCATTATTTATTTTGTTAACATTCGCGACCTTCTCAATTCGGATTCAATTAGTGCTATGGAATTGCTCTTTGAAAAAGTCGTCACTGATTTGAGTGAAGAAAGCCTATTATGTGGCTATGAATGGATCATTGAAAATCAGGAGAAAGTTGTTTTTATTTTCGATGGATTGGATCAGGCGACTTGGTCTCTTATCGAACATCACTGCAAGATAAACCACCATGAAAGAGCCAGTACAGCAACGGTAATGTACAACATTGTCACTGCTCATCTTTTCCCCAGGGTTCAGATTGTCATCACCTCTCGCGAGCATTGTATAGCATCTCTCACTGCTGAACTTCGGCCCCATCTAATCTACGGGTTAGTAGGTCTGAGCCCAGATGACGTCAAGAAATTATTCGTTGCACTCTTGGGTGATATCGGCCAACAGCAATGGGATCGGATGTGTTTATCCTCTCCTGCAATTATTCCGCTGTCTTCAGTCCCAATATTTTTAATATACAACGCCATCGTTCAGAAGTTTAACCCGAATAATCCACCAGATACCATGACAGGAGTTATGTTGGAGATTATTGATGTTCTTCTGCAATCTCAGCATGTCAGAGATAAGCAGGTTCTGCACAAGTTGAAAGAAATGGCTTTTCGAGCAATGAGTGTAGGTCGAGTCGTTTTTACAAAAGAAGAATTATTGAAGTTTGGAATAGATCCAGATTCGATTCAAGACCTGGTAATCAAAGTTCCAGGCCGCACAAGGGCGAGTCATTGCCTGCTTGAAGGAACCCAACAAATATGTTTCTCACACCAAGTAATTGAAGAAAACTTTGCCGCGATGTTCGTGTCAGAAATGGAACTTCGTGATTTTGAAGAATTCGTGGAAGAATTCATTCATCAAAATCATTGGTCGGTTGTTCGCAAATTCGTGTGCGGAATTCTTCTCAACCCAGATTTGGCAATCGACTGGTCTCCACAAATGCTTCAAAGTAAGAAAGTACTGTTTATACGTCAAATAAACGTTTTCACAATATTAGATTTCATTTTATATAAATATGAATTCCTAGTTTGCGTTGGTAAGATTTCTGTAAATTTTAAAGTGAAAGTTGGCATTGAAAATAACTCATATTTGTTTTGGGACTCCCCGCTGTATTTTTGACTATTAAAATTGAAATGTAAGTCAGAAAATCACTGTATTCCTTTCCTTGCGTTTTTTGTTTTAATTGTATTTAAACTATTCAGATATTTTCGATAAACGACAAATTTACCTCATGCTTATTTATATAACATAAGCTGCATAGTAGCTTGATATTCTCAATACTTGTTTTTCAGTTAAAGACAAGAAAGCAAAAAAAGAAATCTTGAGACGTAGCATGAATGAACAGCTGAAAAAAACAAACGATTCAACCGCTTTGCTGGAATTGTACGGGGCTTTGTACGAGTCTAATGACGCTGGTTTAATTCAATCCCACGTTGACAATATAAGTATCGAATATACAACAATCAACTCCAGTAGAATGTTGGCAATATCATCAATTATGCGTCGAAGTGAGAATCTGAATCTTCTGCGTTTTGCCACATGTTTTCTCACTGCCGAACTATTTGGCATCATGGTTTCAAATTTAAAGCATTCCCAGCTGAAGGTTTGTTTATTTTAATATTCACAATAATTTTACTGCAATCTGAGAGCAAGTATTTAATACTTCATTTAACGCTTCATTATTGCAAACTGTATCTCTTAAAATAACACAAAAGTAGAAAGTCTCATTGAAGTTCTCAGGCAAGTTGAACTTTTAACTTAAACGGGAAAAATGAGTTTTTAGTAAAAATTTGGCGCTCCAGAAGTGTGTGTACCAATATGAAGGTAATTAGTTTTGTTCGTTTTCTTTACATCAAGTTGTATAAACGGACTGAAACCTATGAGCAAGAGGTATATTCACTTGGCTAACACAGACAGTCCCCGAACTCGTGATAGAACTAAAATCAGGAAAATCGGAATGAAATTATGGCCTAACCCTAACCTGGTACACACACTACGGGAGTACCGAAAATTTTGTGATCTTAATGCGCTATTCAAGTTTTCTAAAACCGGAGTGGACAATTTGAGTCTTATGTGATATCTTTTACCTCAGATTTAAAATGAAAGGAGGTTAAACTGCTCTTCTGGCCAGGTAATTTACCACCTGTACCTGTTGGTTTAATGCTGCTACATCATTTCTCAACGCGCACGCAGCAGATGTTATCTGCCGGAAGGAGATTTCGCCTATATATTATGCCGTTATATATTTATAGATCAAGAAGTTTGTCCTGAACAACAGATTTAATGCTGAATTATATTCCGCTGTTATTCAATTCACCGAAGATCACGTCGAGGAAATGGTGTTGGAGAATTGCAGGGGAATGGAGGAATTATTGATCATCAGTAAAAACTCTGTATCCAAGAAAGTGAGTTGATGTTACCAAATAAAGACAATACGACTTTTTCTATTTTTTAAAATGAATCCGACTGGTTTGGCGAAGCGACCAGTTCGTGTATTGATTAAAGAATAAATGCGTAGTAGAAAATACGACAGGAAATAATTTGTTAACCAGTTAAGTATTTTGGGTACATAGACTTAAATGGCAAAGGTAGCGGTTACCCTAACCACCCTACCACAACAAGACATTCATCAATCTTCCCGCTAATGCAATCCCCAAAGATGTGCCCTGCGTACAAAATGATTTGAACTTGAGAATTCAAGATTGAATAGGTTTAGATTTTCAATAATTAGGGAAACTACCATTCAATCATACCATACGTTAGGAATCTCACTCTTTGGGCAAAGATGGGACAAAGCAAAAAAATACGAGTGACTTTACTGAAAAAATACGCAATTTATTCACCTTTCGCTATCGATTTAGTTTCTGCGAGACTAACTACTTATCCTTCTTCTGTGCTTTTGTGTCGGGTAATTCGTACGCATAAAATTCAAGGATGCTAGCATGATTGAAGATAACTATTATAAGTGATTCGAGAGTCTTTTTGTGCCATTTCCTAATAGTTGATATTATAGGATGACTTGGGTGATTTTCCTCAAGTGCATGCGCTGAACTCTTGATGCACTTAGAATTACTAAACTCTGTTTTAATTCATCGAATCCACGTCATTGGAATGCTCTGTCAAACCAAAATACCTAATTAACAAACCTTCGTTTCATTTAAAAATTCCTGCTTTTCTACCTACTTTTTTACAATTTCAGCGGGAACAACATTTCCGATTAAGTTTGGCTCTACTTAGTGAATCAATGTAATTAGGTTGAATGTTCTTGTGTTTAGGTTAAGATGCGTTTTTGGTTTCTTAAAGTCATAATTTTGGTTATAATAAATAAACTGATACAAAATTATCATATTTTAGATGTTTATCAACCTGATTGACTTCTGGACGACGAAGATGTCAGTACAACTTAGCATTAAGATTGGTATCGTTTGTTTTAAGTATAATGTTGAAAAGTTGCAGATATGTAATGCTGATTTAAAAGCGACTCATCTTCGAAACATATTTAAACACATAGGAACTGGTAAAGTAAGTGAATAATTTTGTATAATCAGTTTCTACAAAGCGAGAATGCAAAGCAACTCGTGGTTAATATGAATCGCTCAGATGCAAAACAAGACGAGTTCATATTCTAGTATATCAATCAGGTTTGAAGTCGCCATTTAGCTTGCAAAAAGTATCTTAACATTGAAGAGCGAACTACACGAACCTGTAATTTTAGACTAACCCGCTGTTAGTTACATTAAATCAGCTATTCCCAACATTTTTCGTTAAATTATTCCCTTCGCCTATTTTGGAACTTTTTATTCCTCTTCACTAATCAAGTATTTTATGTATTCAATCTTAATAATTCCTTCAATATTGTTATGCAAAAGTCGAACTCCCGCTTTCGTACGGTATAATAATTTATAACGTGTGCATAAATAAGTATTATGGTAACAATAAAGAACTAAAGTACATTAGTAATCCTACAGCAAATGCCGATAACGCAAGAATCTTCCCCGGAACATGGCATTGAATATATTCGCTTTTTATGCCACATTATCGTGATTCGTCTTCGTATAACCTTCTACAAACAAGTCCTATTAGTTGTCGTTATTGTTGCGTTTTACTGTAATACACTCAATAAATTGTATTATAGCCTACTGCTCACAGTTATACGTCATAAGATGAAACATAAGATCATGGCCTTTAATGTCTATATGCGGCATGTTTCTGTTATTATGTTTTCAAACCCCATATTAAAATTGAAGGCCCTTTGAAAAGCAAATATGTTGACTATGCATGTTGGATATTTTGGACTAGATTTTACGTAAATATCAACGCATTGTGGTTCAGTTCTGTCACTCACGAATGTACTATCGTACTTTACCGACGTTATTTAAGGCATGTTCACTCCCCTGCCTCAAACTAGGCGCTGGGCAGCGTCGCGTCACGTCGAGTTGGACGTGAAGTGAACTTATGAATCGTTTTGTTATTGAAAAAACGCTTACCTCTTCAACTACTGGACTAATCGCTTTGAAATTTTCGAAACTTGTTGTTTGTTACCACTAGAAGCATATTACTTTTGCTTATTTCTCAAAATCTGTAGGCTCAATGGGTTTCGTATTTCACTTCTAAGTTTTTTGTGATGACGTCATCAAAGTTAAAATTGCGTACCGTGGTTCCGTGAATACAACTCCTCAGTGATATGTTGGTCATAGTGCCGGTATTGTGAAAAATTTAATACTGCCTCGTCATGGACTTTGTGGCCATATATTTGAGCATTGCACTGTTGTTATTATTAACGTTAACTGAATGTTACTGCGCCCACTGAATGAAAATAAGTTAGAAATGTATGGTGTATTTTATTATCGTCAATGTTATAATGCATTCAGTTGAAGTCAATCAATGTAAGCACAAATCCAAAGCTTGGGGTAGAAGGTGTTAGTGTACTCGGTTCTATGATGTCGCTATGTGAGATAGAGAATGTTGAAATATCAGATTGCAATTTGACAACAGAAGCAATGAAAGCATTCAAGGAAAACTGCCTGGGTGCAAAGGTACAAAATATTTTATTATGAAACCTTGAATATTTTAGGCATTGACACTTCCGTGTGTAATGAATTAAGTTTCGCAGCGGTATTTATCAAAAGTGTTAATCAAAATTGGGTAATTCAGATTTCCTGACAAGATCCTGCACTGTTTGGTCTAAAAATCTTATACACCCAGTACATTATTACAAATATTATTGGAATTATTGATATAATGCTTTGAAGTCGTGGATGAAGTAAACACTATAATTTACCAGTACTATAATTTAATAATTATGATAATAATTTAATTAATCAGTACTATAATTTAATGTTGAGCTGCAAATAATTTATACACATTATAATCTTTAATGTTATTATTTTTTCAGCTGAAAAAGCTAAATGTCAGCTTCAATACCAACCTGGGTGTTGAAGGTGTGGGTGTACTTGGTTCCATTGTGTCAAACAGTGAAGTAGAAGAGATTTTAATGCGTGGATGCATTTTGACTGCGGAATCAATGAAGGCATTCAAGAAATATGTTGGGGATGCGAAGGTAAAAAATATTAGTTTTATTAAAGATCAAGTTTTGTCAAAGTTTGGAGAAAAATCGTTGACGTCATGTATTTCTTGGAATGATAAATATAATCTGAAAAACAAAATCTGAGCTTCAACTGTGAAAATATTCGCATTATGTTAGGTATTTTGCTTTAATTCCAAACTTCGAAATTTTCAATTCTGAATTAGATAAAACCAGAAAAGCAGAGAACTCCTGGAGAAGCCACAGAGTCTGCTCTTTCTTCGCAATGTATTTACATATAACACTGACATATATTGGGACATGATCATTGAAAATAAATCGATACAAAATAGCCAAAGACTTACATGGTTCATTGTTTTTTCTTCTAAATGTGCATTTGTATTGGCAATTTTTATTTGTTATAGATTAAGTTGCTGCATCTGAGTTGGAACATGACACTCGGAGATGAAGGACTATCTACAATCAGTGAAATTGTTCTTCAATGTCACGTTGAAACAGTGGTGATGCGAGGTTGCGACTTCAACGATGATCAGTTAAAAAGATTCAAAGCATTGATCGCTGATACCGGAGTCAAGTTTATACACCGACGTAACGATGGGGCATTTCACAACCACCACGTCAATTAATCATATACCTTGCAACAATGACACAAATACAATTTTGTTTCCTTAAACTACAACGCAAGAGCTGTAAAATTTCTAGGCGATGTCTAAGCATCCGAAAATGTGACACTGGCTAGGATTCTAGACTTATAAATCATTCAAAAGTTTATTATTTTAAGTAAATAACATAAATTAACATGCTCAACATATCATCAAGACAGACTTCTCTTCTACAGTTAAATGAGTATTATTTATATCAGTGACTAGTGGGCATTCAATGAAATAATGACATATCAGTAACGATTACTGTAAAAATATCATAAAAAAAAAAAACATAAAAAAACTTTACTCGTTCCTGTTTTTAAGTTGAGGAAAAAACCATTACAAGTGAAACTCCAGCAAATTCTTTCAATTTGGAATTTTTATTGCGGGACCGATAATACTTAAAAATCCGACCTCCCGTGAATCAGTTAATGACTGCTATGCTTACTTTACTAGTAGTTGAAGAATGTGATGTTGTGGTCGATATAGACTGAGTTCATCTTTTTTACATGTTTCTTTTATCATTTATTGCGCCCTTGGTCGGCTGATAGACATGGAAATATAAATAGTTGGATTGCATTTAGGATTTCAAACCTTGTCAAGTATGATAAAATTCGTTGCGGGGTAAATAAAGCAACACTGGGTTCTTATGATGCTGCCTTATCTTACCTTACCGAAGTCTTACATTACTTACTCAGACGATTTTTTATAAATACATTTCATATATCTTTAACAATATTTTGATTGGATATTTGCGTATATGTAAGTAAAGTACATTGCAGATTCTTGTTTTGACATTTTATATAAGCAAGAGTCTAGACAAGCACATGGGCGCTTCTCGTCTTCATAAAACCCGAAGTTTTACACGGCATTACTAATTTATTACTTTTCATTGTGATGTCACTATATAACGGAATCCTGATTGTTTGACTTATTTATCATACAGCATAAATGCTTTTTTACCTTTCTCGTTTCTGCAAGGCTGTGCTCTTAGCGCAGTTGATATATTTGTCAAAACTTATATTGGCTAGAATATGAAACCTATTTTGAATAAATGATGATAAATAAATAACGAAATTCAGATAGTTTTAATTTTTTTACGTCAATGTCTTAAAGTATTTAGAATCATTTGCCGCATTGTACAGAGTAGCATTGCAATCAGTTGATTAGTTAGAATAGACATATGAAAAATATAAAAACACGTTAAAATATTATTAATTTTCTTCTCCAGTTCATCAATGTCAGGCTCAATAAATCTTAACTGAAAGTAACTGTATGGTATTGCCATTTTAGAAAATTAAGTACTACTCTCAATTCGGCCATTTTAATGCATCTTTGGGACCCAATGACTTCAACTATGCTCCATGAATACTACATAATTTCGAAATGTCGGAGTTGACTTTGCGCATAAAAACGCAAATTTAAGTAATCTTGGCCGAATCCGAGCGCCCCTGCTCACCTGATGTGGGTCGTGTTTTTGTTGCTTTCAGTTCTATCTGATAGATCTGTGACTTTCTTGCTGTTAATCAAATTAAAATTACGCTGATAAGTTCTCAATACCACATCATCAACAGGCTATATTAAATATTGTTAAATTTATGCAGGGTTAAATTTCAAAAATTCCAGACTCGCTAACGAAGTCCATTTTACGTAAGCGGCAAATACCTAATATCTTGAAAAATTATATAGAATCAAATTCGAGTTTGGCGATAACGTTCAATATACAAAGGCGGGGCTGTCTCTTACGATTGGAACCAATACAGTTCACTCATAATCATGGATTGTTTTTCAAGATTTAAAATTTACTTGTAATAATAATATGCCGTTTAAACTAACTCTGCCGATTCTCTAACAAGAGATATTTATTCTTCAAAAACAGTTTATTTGGGGCAAATATCAACCACCAGCAAACACAAATATTTCTGATGAATTCGAACTCTTCATTGCTAAAATAAACAACGACTAAATAAGTGAAGTACTCTAAGTAAGTAGCGCAGAAATAAAAAGTTAGGAAGTGGGCTAGGCAATATATTTAACGAAATAGGTAGAAACCACGGGAATAATGTTACAAAAACACCAAATATATGAACCCAAAAATAATACGGCCAAGGGTGGATCAATTCCATTTTAGCTGGCCTTGTTCAGCACAATGAATCGGAGGGAAAATTCCCACATCAAATTTTTTGAACAAGACGTGAATAAGATAAAATATTCAAGCTATATCTTTGTATCAGACACTGTCACATTTACCCACTGAAGATTTTTGTAGCGATCTGTCCCGTTGTTAGAAAAAAGAGGATACGTCTTTAATAAGATATATTTGAAATTTTTTGTTAGGTTCGTCAGTTTGACAGATAAATGAACACCTAGTTTTAAAAAATTCATACACCCATGTTGCTTTCACTTTTGTGTCAACCACATATCAACATCGTATAAAGAATCTTTTCTACAGCAAACCTGATTGTGATTTCTCTTATCATCATCAGTCAATCTCTACGGAAATGGCTCTGTACAAGAAGTCATTGATACGTAGGTAGATACTGTATATATGATTAAACTATAAACATAAGAAAATGGATTTATTTTTCTAATTTAACGGAGCTGCCCCAAGTTTTACGTAAATTCATGTCCTAATAGAACTAAATTGAGAAATTGGAATAAAATTAGGGCCTAACTTTAACCTGACACGCACACTACTTTCCGGTGTCCGCCATCTTGGTTCACATACTTCGGGATTTATGTGTGTACGTATATCATATAGATAATATATCTATGAACCAATGGCACGTTATGCTTTTCACCTGTAACTGCGATATCTTGAAATGTTTACTAAACTCGCCGCTGCAATGAAGAGGTTACAACGAAGGAAATAACCTTCGTCCCAAGCTAAATCAGAACAAACGCTGATAACATTCTTTGAACCTGCTTAATTTTATCACAGTGTTTTTATACTAAACACAAAACATCATTGTTTAAGGTTTTTATTCGAGTGCAAAGAATGTTGTGATGTCGATTTGTTTGACTAAATTTCTTCGGGCATTGTTTTTTTGCCAGCTCTAATGTTGATATATCGCAGGAATGGCGAACCACTGATCCGCGGGTCACCAAGTGACCCACCGCATTTTATTCGTGACCCGCTAAGGCACGAACGGAATAAAATAAAAATGCTAACATATTAGTGATAAAAATTAATAAAACCGGCTTTAAATTAATCTAACAATAACTAAACTATTATATTGTACCGCCATTCATATTCAAATTGTTAATTTATCGTTCTCGGCCGGTATGGTCATTTTCAAAACCCCTAATCTTGGACGTATGTATGCACCGCTGTGTACCGTTTTTCAGCTATTGGCTCTGACATAGTTTATGACATAACAATGCATTTGATCTGTTCATTTCTCGCAACGCCTCGTCTCTTTCGGAAGTGCATCTGCAGACTGTTTAGGGATTAAACGTGAACTAGATGCTACTTTTATTAGTTTCTCTCATACAATGCCGTTGAGAAAACAAAATCTTTGATATATACTTGAAATAAAAATCTAGAAATCACAATGGGGCAGTGTGAAAGTGCCTTAATGTGGTTGAAAGCTGATCAAAAAATATCACTTTCAGAGTGGAATTTCCTCCAAACTCTTTGGAACCGTAAAATAATTTACCCATTATCCTAAACGTTTTTTTGTAATTCATATGCGTGTTTTTGTACTCTAATTTCATAAAAGCGTGTGCCATAAAAGTCCCTAATAGAAGTGCTGCATAAGTTAAGGCCAAAAGTACACCAACACCAACAGAAGCTTTTAATATTTGTTTCAGTTTCTTATAGATACAAACATGAATAAAATATCTGTGACCCACTCTCTTCTGTTCCGCGATAAAAATTTAATTTTTGACTCATTAATTGAAAAAGTTTCGCCATCTCTGATATTTGGTATACTTGGAAAAGAGGCAAAATATATTATCATATTTAATGTAGATAAAAATGAAGCCACTATCGTAGCAAATGCAGATTGTTGGTTACCACATTTTAATACTTTTAACTACTTGGTGCTAATAGCGCTATAATGTTTGCCCTGAAAACAAGGTCATACCAAGTTTATTTTTTATGTCAGGGGTGGGCAACCTTTAATACGCGTGTAAAACCTGTGTGAAACCGCGAGCTGCAACTTTATTTAATATAGGCTATCTAGTAGTTGCAAGCCCAAATTTTTAGTTATTGATCTTGTGACATGCGTTGTTTGCACAAGTTAACTGTTGAGGCATTGTAAAGTCATAGGCATAGATAATGAATTAGACCCAGGTATAGGCTTCGCAACGCAAAGCGATTGGAATTACTCGCACGTACCAATTTAAATTTAGGTTTGTGCTGTTGATGGGCGCTAAATGCTTCCAGTCACTTCCTTCCGATTTTTTTATTGGCCTTCTGCTTCTTTTTTCAATACCTTTCCATCTAAAATCTGTACGTTTCCAACTTTACTCAAGGTTTTGTTTGCTCTCCCGATTCTATAATCAGTTTTATTTGTTTTTATCAATTACTTATCGTCTATTATGATGATTATGGAGTCGAAATAAACTTATACTTACTGAAATTGAAAACTTGTTTCGCAGGCCGCACTATTTTTATTTGAGAGTTGCATTTGGCCTGCGGGCCGCAGGTTGCACTCCCTCGTCCCATATAATTATCCTCAGATGTTTTATGTGAAAAAAATCATGATGGCCTATTCTCTCGCGCGATCACGAGTTGTGTGTATACAGTATAGCGATTGTCGAAAAGGCATCATAGTCGGCAGTTGAAAATGAATTTTCATTGACGTTAATTTATTGCTAATACTACATAGAATAACAAACAGTTTAATATGGATATAATAGCACAGAACATGGATCTAGAAACCGCGCAACATGAAGATAATTTTATATTGATCAGTATCATACTATATTGTTGAGTTAAGTATATAGGTATGCAGGTAAATCGCAAACTTTGGAAAAATCATTTTCAGTAAACGACGATTCAAATTGAAAAGTGAAAAAGGCAGTGAGTTACATTTAATACTGTCGTATTTACAGACAGCATGTT